CTTCCCTAGCCCCGCAGCTGTACTGAGTCCTCGGCGTCGTCTGCACCGTAAAAAAAGTCCTTCCCTCCCGACTCACCTTCACGAACATTGTCGTCGGGCCGAACATTGTCGCGGTACGTCCGGCTACTCTCGGAGTGCACCTCGCCCTCTATGTGTTCGACACATTGTGTGTCTAATTTTTTATGATTGTTTTGTAGGTAAAACAATGGATTTGGATGGTTCCTCAAATGAGGGGGATGGACTCACGGAGCATGATGAATTAATTCAAAGGAGTTCTTCAATCTATCGGATTCGGACGAAGAAGCGGAGATGATGATGAGCATGAGCATCCAACAGGAAATGAATCTGAAGGTGGAACACATTCTAAACTTTAAGGGTTCAATCAAAGGAAGAAGAGTTCAACATAGAGACTCTGGAGCACGGCTGCTCTACAAGGACTACTTTGATCATGTACCAACAATTCCTAATGACATCGCAAAAAAAAAAAACAATTCCTGATGAATCGTTTTGTGGACGCTTTGGTATGCACAAACCCTTGTTTTTGCACGTCCCACGTGTCACACCCTTCTGGTCCGGGACATTGAAATTCGGGTCCCATGTGTCAGACACACCTCAGTCGACTATCCTGCTGAGTCCTTTGGCCCAAGTCCGTCCGTTTTTCCCCACCCCTCCGATCCCAAACCATGGCTACCACCTCCGGCGGCGGGGCCGCCGGCGACCCCGCTGCGTCCTCACCAGCGCCGAGCCAACCACAGCATCCGACACCCCGCATCTCTCACATCGTCCGCACCTACCTCGACCTCTCCTCCAATTCCAAGAAGCGCCGCGCCGCCCGTAAGAACCAGCTCAAGCCCGGCGGCGTAGAGACTTCCGCCGCCGGAGAAAACAAGGGATGCGGCCCCTCTGGGGCCGCCTCGTTGGAGCATTCGCGGCTGCTCCGGGAGCTGGGCATCCGGGTCTCCCGCTACACGAACGAGGAGCGCCGCGATATCATCACCCGCTACATGCAGAAGCGGAGCGGCCGCCAGGGCGTTAACCGCGCCGCCGCTAAGGTGGGATTCTTTGTGACGAGGTCTGGTTTGGGGGCTAGTTGGACTGGGGAGGTCATGGTTGTCAACTTAATTACTGCTGCCGTTGTTGCCTGCAGGTCCCGTCGAGGCAAGCCCTGGCGGAGCGGCGCCGGAGGAGTGCCGGAGGGCAGTTCCTCGGCAAGGAGGACCTGCAGGTATAATCCGTGATGTTTTTGGGATTGCACATTGCAGGCAGGGTAGTGTAGCGGTGCCGGTGCGCTTTGCTTTGCTTTGCTTTGCCATCATCAAAGTTTCTGTTTTTGGGATCTGAAATTTCCCCTTTTCTGTTTGAGTTTCTAGATCAGGGAAAGTATGCGGGTGCTTGTTTATACTATAATCGTTTATACAAAGATGAGATTATATAGGCGTGCTTGTTTCTCCCAGACTGCAGATAAACCTGAAGAGAAGGCAGAAGAAGAGCCAGAATTGCCACCAGAAGTTGTTGCGAACGCTGGAGGAGTGCCCATAATTGGAATGGTCTTCGAGAGTGAAGAGAAAGCATGCAAGTATTATGTTAGTTATGCAGGAAATGTGGGATTTAGTGTCCGAAAAGGATTGTGGGATAAAACAGCAAAAAGTGGCAGTAGATCAAGGTTTTATGTCTGTTCCAGAGAGGGCTTTCGCGCAAAGAATTTGCCCAAGAGACCTTGCCCGGAGACGAGGACGGGTTGCCCTGCACGATTTTCTATCATGTTAACGCCCAGTGGAAAATACCGAGTGACAGAATTTGTGCAGGATCATAATCACCAGCTTGCTGGTCCAATTGATATTGGAATGCTGAAGTCGCAAAGATTATTGTCCAAGGTTCAATCTGGAAATGGAAATGCCATAAGCATTCCTTCAAGGTACAAGAATTATCTTCGGACCAAGTCTACAAAAGATATGAACGCAGGGGATTTTGGAGCTCTTACAGATTATTTTCGAAGTATGAAGAGTGATAATCCATCTTTTTACTATGCCATCCAGGTGGATGAAAATGACAAAGCTGCCAATGTCTTCTGGGCTGATGCAAGATCAATCTTCGACTATCATTATTTCAGTGATGTGATCTGCTTTGATATGACCTACAAACTGAATGACTACAGCAGGCCACTAGCTTTTATTTTGGGTATGAACCATCATAGGCAAATGGTCATATTTGGTGCTGCTTTCCTGTATGATGAAACGGCTGAATCTTTCAAGTGGCTTCTTGAGACCTTTAAGAGTGCCATGTGTGGGAAACAGCCAAAGACAATTTTGACAGATCGATCTGCTGCTTTGAAGGAAGCGCTAGACCTCGCTTGGCCTGGTACAGTTCACCGTTATTGCTTGTGGCAAATATACCAGGATGCAGCTAAGTCCTTGGCGCATGTTTTCTGTATTTCAGAAGAATTCACACATGATTTTAGCCATTGTGTATTTGATGTCGAGGATGGCCAAGAGTTTGTTGAGACATGGAATGTGATAATGGAGAAATACAACCTTAAAGAAAACAAATTGTTAAATGAGCTTTACGAAGGCAGAGAAAATTGGGCCTTGCCATACGGCCGACAAATATTCTCTGGGGACATTAAAAGCATGGTACGAGCAGAAACCTTAGGCATAAGGATGAAAGAATACTTGGGTTGTGAGAAAGAGCTGTCTCCTTTTTTGAAGTTTTTTGAAAGTTCAGTTGAGAAGAGGAGACAGGAAGAGATACAAGCTGATTACCAAGCCAGCCAAAGGGAACCAAGAACACCTCTGCCACTGCTCTGGCAGGCTGCAAACTTGTATACACCAATAAATTTTGAGTTATTTAGGAAAGAGTATGAAGAGTGCATGGACTGTATGGTTTACGGTTGCGGCGAGTTCGGCTCTCTTTCAGAGTATATGATTACTGTTAAAAACAGAACGAAAGAACAACTTGTGCGGTTTGATTCATCAGATGGCACGGTTGCATGCACTTGTAAAAAATTTGAAACTGCTGGAATTTTATGCTGCCATATATTAAAGGTATATGAACTGAAGAATGTTAAAGAGATCCCCCCACAGTATCTTCTTAAGAGATGGAGTAAAGATGCAAAGTTGGGGACCGTTCATGAAATCGATGGGTTTAGTTTTGACAGTCATATAGGATCTTGTGTTCCAGAGCGTTATGCAGCTCTTTGTCGTTTGTTCTATAAGATTGCTTCTAAGGCTGCAGCGAACGTAGAGACATTTTCAATGGTCGCAAGCCAGTCGGATCAACTTAATGAAGGAATTGAACGAACTTTGCAATCAACATTAGCTGCTAAGTCATCTGTTGTCCATTCCATCAAGGATCAGTTAACTCGTATGGCTCAAAATGATTATCCCCTTGGTAATAGCAGTGAGGCTCAGAAATCTACCGGAAAGAAGATGAGTGAAGTTACTCATCGTGGAAATTGTCAGGAAACCAATAAAAGGCAGAAACAAAGAAGAGGTGTCTCTGCAGTTTATTTCTTTATAGATGTGAACTCTTTTTATACACTTGTACATGTAAATTTAAACATTTTCTTTTGCATGCTATGAAAATAGGGCATTCTGGCGAAGCAGCTGCAGGACCAAGGGAAAGGGAAGTGAATGTTACGGATCAGTTCCTACCAGATCAACTAATGCAGGTGAATTCTTCAACATGAACACACGATTCCTATTATTTTCATGTGGCCTTGTGAATGTGGTTTGGCTTCTCTCTGTATTGTGCAGGGACATTATGTACTTGGCCATAACTTTGGTATTAGTACCTCACAGAACATTCGTGACGATTTGAACCAATTTGGTCAGGTTTGTGTTCATCTCTTGATAACAATGTATAGTCGTGTCGATTAGTTATCAGGTTTATCAGGTTCTTGTGGGCATGCAGGCTTCTGCAGTTCCAATCCTGCAACAGCAGCCATTCCCTGGGAATGGTCCACTAACCGAAACCCAAGTGAGTTGTTTGGAATCAGTGATTGTAAAAGAGAAACTTATGTTTGATACTCCCTCCGTCCGGAAATACTTGTCGAAGAAATGCATAAAAATGAATGTTCTAGAACTAAAATACATCTAGATACATCCATTCCTCCGACGAGTATTTTCGGACGTAGGGAGTATCTTTTTGAAGCATTTGACCTTTCTTGTCCACTTAATGAAGTAGTAATTGTTTAATTCTGAAGTCCGGACTCAGGTATGGTTCATACCGTTCTTGATGCCGTAGTTACTGAAGTGAGCGTAAATCTTGCAGGCCTATACTGGTGACATGCACGCATTGCAATTCATGGAGACGAATCCCCAGATCGACCATGAGAATGGAGAGGAGGGTCAGTCGTCGATACCGGTGTGGGATTTTCTATGATGTACGACTTCACATCACTTGTGTATACCACTACGGCTATTACTAGTGATTTCCTGACCGCAACCTGTCAGCCTGTCCTACATTTGCCACCAGGTTTGAAGAACGTAGAACCACTACTGAGTTTCCATGATGAGTTTTTTCTGCCGTTTGGCTTAGATAACTGCCGTTCAGTGTAATGCCCTGAGTGCAATCCCAAAGGGATCTTTTGTATGTAACTGGCTGCCTTGTACGTAGTACGTACAACATTTGGCTGATTGCCGGAATGCCAAAGAAATGTCAAAACTGTATTTCTCATATCCTTTCCCAGCACTCCAGTTCTCCAACATCTGCTGGAATATGGATTGTGAAAAAGCAAAAAAGAAGAAAGACCGAAACTATTCTTTGTTGATTCACAGTGATCAGCAGTATCTCCGGTAACAAGAATGAGTTTGTAACAAGCCAATTCGGCGAGCATGTACGAACACAGCAAAGCCGTAAGAGCCAATTTGGCGAGCATGTACACAACACAGCAATGCCGTAAGAAACAATTTGGCGAGCATGTACACAACACACAAGAACGCGCACACAAGAAGCAGAACGCCCTCACCGTGCTCCAGGGTGCCCTGAAAATGCAGGCGGCATCAGACGAAGAACATCTTGTCCCTGAGATCCGGGTGCACGCGCAGCTCCGGGAACTCGACGGCCTGGAACTGCGCCTGGAACTGCAGGGACGCCATCCTGCTGTCGCAGTAGTCCCTGCCGCGGTAGGCCGCGATGTCGGCGTACTTGATGGGCGCCGTCAGCGACACCGGCTTGGTGCAGCGAGCGAACACGAAGCACATGCTGTACACCAGCTTCTGCAGGTCCACGCGCTTGAAGCCGTTATCGTCCTCCAGCATGTAGTAGTGCGTGGGCCGGCTCGTCCCGTGCAGCCCGTCGTGGCTGCAGAGGAAGAAATCCTCCTCCTCCGATTGGTCGACCACGACGGTGTCGACGACCGTGCCAGGGAGCACATTGCCATTCGTTGTCTGCAGCTCATTTTCGTCCTTGGGGAACAGTCGCGTGTGGTGTCGCTTCTTGGCCACGACCACTGTGATCGTCGGCGAGTAGTCGTCCTCGCAGATACCTTTCTTCATGGACACTAGCTCCTCCTTGCGGACCATATCGAACTGCTCGTCGCTCACGCCATCGCGGAAGTAAATGATCTTGTCTGGCTTGAAGCCGCCGTTCCTCTCCTTGTAGACTTGGATGAGCTCCTTACACATGGTACCGAGGTTATCGATCTTCTCCTTGCGGCCCTTCTGGGCATGGATTCTCGGCACGTACTGGCTGGCGCTAGGGCAATCCATGGACGCCACAACAGCTGCTATCGACGGACTCACCGTGTCTCCTGGAGGCGGGTGGTTCACGTCCGCTCCGATGAACATGAAGCGTGTGCCAGCCACCATTGGAAGCTCGTGAGATAGCTGCATGTTGCTTCCTCCGAGCTTGCTGTTGATCTTGAGGGCAAGGTTGGACAAGTACTGGTCCTGGCCCTTGCCTTCTTTGTTCGCCAGCTGGGTCAAGAGACACTGGGTTTGGATCCCCAGCTCTATCTCGCAGATCAGCTTCAGCGTCTTGTACCCAGGGTGCAGCTCAGACATCGGGCAGAAGAGGAGCTGCAGCTTCTGCCTCTTCTCCTCCGCAGCCTCCTTCGCTTTCCTGAGCTCCCTACGTAGTTTGTCCGGATCAGATAGCACCAACATTGCTGACTTGTGCACAAGGCTTGGCTCATAGGACATGGTAATACCAAGATTATTGCACTTGCTGACAATCTTTGCAATAAAGGCATCCCTGAAAAGAGTCTCCTGTCCACTGAAATCGAGCACGCCCCAGCACTCGAGAGACTGGCCTTCAAATATTTTGTGATCCTGGAGGTTCCACTGGCGGTTAGCAAGACGAATACTCAATTCTTTAGAGCCACCCAGTTTTAGCACTGGGGGGAGAAGGATCCTGCCGGTCACTTCTGTCATCTGTGTATCCAATGAAATCTTGAATTGCTCGCCTCTGTTTCCTCCTCTGCAAGTAAAATGATCGTTAGTACCCCGTAATAAAAATGAATTCCTTTCAATAATTATTCACTAAGCATCAGATCCTTTTTTGAAGAAACGCAAAGATCAGTTCCTTCCAAAGAAAGAAAATGACAGCAAATACTTAAGTAAGAATTACGTAAGTGGGCAGTGAATTGAAAAATATACTGATAACACAGTTAAACTTCAGATTTATTTCACACACATGTTCTGCTGTAGAGGTATTGTTAACACAGAAAAGAAAAACTATTGTATCAAACTTCTAGCAAATTATATTGCACTGGAATTACTTTCTAAGCAGCAAGTAAATTATGTGATATATTAGGTTTCTAGACTGAAAAAAGGAAAGAATGGATGGCCATGCGTATGCAGAAGTAGAAGGGTGCCCAAACACAAAATAGTTACCTGCAAGGCCCATCCAATCCATCATTAACCATTCGCTCAATCCTAATTTTCCGCTCATCTGATGGGGGTGGCCTCCTCGGTTCCTGGCTGGAATCCTTGGGATACTTCTGACATCTATGAAGCCTACAAAGCTCAATCGGGACATTGTTTGGCTTGTCCGTTCTCTTGCTCAAAACCAAGCATGGAAGCATCTTATACTGAATATCCTCCCCGTACTGCTGACGATAATACTGAACAAGCTCCCAACTCTTATCTACTTTGAACTCCTTGAAGGTTATCTGTTCAGCATTTTCAGCCGTCAAGTCTTGAACCTTGTACTTCCGAACTGTCGGCGCATCCCTTTTTCCTTCAGAGGACTTCTTCTGGTAACTCACGGTAATACACAGGCCTCTGAGCTGACTCTTCAAATATTCCCACTCTTCCTTGTCTAGAGCTGGACTACGGGGGTTAAGGTGGTTCCTTCTGCCAAAGCGCTTCAGCAAGTGCTCAACAAGATCCAGAACACGGCTTTCAGGTTTGCAGAAGTCCATAACTGAATAGTCCACACATAAGACTAGCCCTTGCTTGGTGGGTTTTAGGGTCTGCTTCGTTCCCCCTAGAGCTTGGACATGAACATGATTGGAGTCCTCAAGAACTAACCAGTGTGGTGAATATAACGTCTGCCCAATGATAATCTTTTCATAGCTGGAGGCTTGACGGACAATGACATCAAGAGCCTGCAAAACATTCCTAGGCACATGCTCATCAGAGGGTAACTGCAGCTTGTCCTTGAACTGTAGTGAGGCATTGTAGGTCCGTGACCGAACTGACACAAGGAGGGATAAACCTTCTGGCAGTTCGGCAAAGGAGTACAGATTGCCCTTGCCATCAGAAGCAACAGCTAATGAATTTGGAGACTGCTGAAGCATCTTCAAGAGTTGAGCCTTTACAAAATTCTGATCTGCCATGGAGAGCTCCAAGTCTCCTGATGCCTCTGGAGAAACTTGGGCGAGCTTGACACTGTAGTGAAAGATACTTGATTCCCCAAACTTGATGCTAAAGTGGTTCACCCAAAGTTTGACTTCTACCTCTTCAATGGGGCCAATTTTTCTGACTGAAGGGAGGAAAAACAACAGTTAGAAACAGCAAAGTTTTACACAAGGAAAGCAGTAACATAGAATGCTTGTCAAAGAGGGGGACTGTGGGATAAAAAAAAACTACAGTGTCTCAAATTAAAATGCTGAAGTAAATGTAGCTATAAGGAGAGGAAATCACTCAACGTTTCCAAGTTCAGATAGTAGATGGCCCCCTGCACTGCAATTTCATTTTAGTTCATACCCTTGCTACTACAAAAAGGTACCCCCAAAAGGCCAAAGTTCTTATCCATGCTGACTCCAAACCATAGCATGAAGCAACCGATCAATTGATGCATGCATGCAAGCCTACTTATGAAATAAAGCATTCCTAAGAAGAAAAAACCCGAAAGAATCAGATACAGTGAAAACCGAGGCTTTCTTGTCTTCTGATGAAGGATTCGGTAGTTCACCGATGTTATAAATGTTATGAAACCACATGGTGACATACCAAACTACTCAGGTTCCTCTAGTTCTATCTGACAAGATTTCCATTTATCTCATGTGATGTGCATCCTATCAAACAAACATCTGCCATCTCAAAATTACGGAACAGAGTTTACTAACAACAGTTTTAAAGTTCAGTTAACATAGTTGAGTTCATCACCACATTATCCTCCCACTTTTTCAAGCAAAACAGGACTGTAATGACCCTATCAAACTAAGAATCAAACGCTTCCTATGGATTCAAGACACAAGAGAATAAGGGGCATCAATAGCTGCCATAAGTACAGCTGTAATACAGACAATGCACCAAAGGGAACTTATCATACAGGGAGATAATCAGATAACTTTCATTCCTATTCACTTCAACCTATAAACCTTGGAGCACACATAGGCATTCGTAATACTACAACCGAACCGTATGAAACATGGGAAAACGCATAATCATGAGACAATGCAGGCATGCAGCACACGGAACTTATCATACAGAGAGACAGTCGTCATTCCAATATATCTAGATCCATAAAAATTGGAGCACATTAGGGCATGCAAAATACTACAAACAGAAACATACAAATACAAAGCACATTATGATGACCATGATCAAAATAAGAAACAACCTAAGATTACACCAATGCAAATGCTACTCTAAATCAGCATGCAACCAACAAAACTTGCAATTACAGGCCCGTAGTTTCAAACAAGATAGCAGTCCACGCTACTAGAACAGGGATGCCTGGACAAACTCGCCTCAGTCAACCACATGTGTGAAATTAAACAGCGATACTCTAATGACTAAACATCACGAAATCATTGATCACTTGATCGATCAACCCCGCCCATGTTTCGAACATTTCAGAGGAACGAACGAATCATGTCAGAGTTCACGAGGCTCGCAAGTACAATCAGGATACAGTACTACAAATGGTGCCCCCAAAAGGCCCAAAGTTCTTCTTCATGCTGACTCCAAACAATAGCATGACGCATTCATGCAAGCCTACTTGTGAAATAACAAATTCATAGAAAAATCCCAAATAGAATCAGATTTAGGTTTTTACTGGTGAAAACTCTGATGCTTTCATGTATTCTTGATAAAGGATACAGTAGTTAAATGATATCCTAAATGTTCGGATACAGTAGTTAAATGATATTCTAAATGTTCGAAACTACAAGGTGACATACCAAACTACCAAGGTTCCTCTAGTGCAATCTGACAGGATTCTTATCCCATATGCTCTGCATCCTCTCAAACAATCATTTGACATCTCAAAGTTGCAGAACAGAGGCTACCAACAACAGTTTAAGAGTTCAGTTAGCATGCAGGCGAATTCAACACCACATCTTCATCCCAGTTTTTCAAACAAAACAGGATTGTAATGACCCTATCAGAGCTAAGATTCAAACGCTTACTATGGATTCAAGATACAAGAGAATAAGATGTATTTACAGCTCTAATACAGACAATGCAGCAAAGGGAACTTATCAAACAGATAGATAATCGCCAATCCTATTATCTCGATCTATAAACCTGGAGTTCATAATACTGCAACAGAACCGTATAAAACTTCAGATACTGCGTAATCATGGACCAGAAACGAAATACGAAACAATCTGAGATCACACCGACGCAAATGCCACTCCAAAATTGCAATCACAGGCCCGTAATTTCAGAAGGTAAACAGCACGCCTGGAGAAACGCATCGCCCCTATCAACCACATACGTGAAATCAAACAGCGCAGGCCCCTGTTTCGAACATTTCAGAGAGGAACTACGGAATCATGCCAGAGTTCAGAAGGCTCGCATGTAAATCAGGGAACGGCGCTTACCACCAGGTCGCGACGGGCTCGCCACCTCCTTGGAGGGGATCTTCTTCGGCGACGGTGTCGCGGCGAACTGCTGGGGGTACTTGTCGCGACGCCGCTCTTCTTGCGGCGCGGGGTAGTACCCGCACGAACCGCGCCCTCCTCCGTGCCATCTGCTTGGGTAGTAGTCCTCCCCTCCGCCGCGGCCCTGGTATCCTCCATAAGGCCCGCCGACCCCGCCGTGATCTCCGCCGCCCGCGCCGCGACCCTGCTCTCCCCCATGGTGGTACGGGTCCCGAGGCCCATTGCTTCCCGAACCACGCCCTCCTCTTCCTCGGCTTCCGCTTGGATCCCCGCCGCCTCCGCCGGGGCTCTGGTATCTTCCGTAAGAGTTGTCGACCCTGCCGTAGTCCTCGCCGCCCGGGCCGCGGTTCCCGCCTCGCGCGTAAGAGCTGGCACCTCGGTCGCGGTCCGCGCCGCCTCCGCCGCGGTACTGGCCTAGGCCGCGAGAGGCGCCTCCTCCGCGGTTCTGGTCTCCGACGGGAGTCGAGCCGCCTCCGCGGGTCTCGTCAACCTCATCGCGGGGGCCTCTCCCGCCGGCGGGGGGAGCCGCTCGGCCGCCGCCGCGGCCCCGGTTCCTGCCGCCTCCGCCGCCCCTCTTATCTCCGGAATCTCTCCCTCCGTCGCGGCCTCCACCGCCGCCACCGCCGCGTCGGTTAGCCATCTCCACGCCGAGGTGGGGCGGCCGAAGCAGCGGCCGATTGGTGGAATTGGGTTGGGTTTTGGGGGGATTTCCCAAACTTGTGGAAGGGGGAGGAGGCGGGGATGGAACGGCTCGGCCGTTGCGAGTGGGACCCGCTACATATAGCGGCGCGAGCCAACGCGAGACGATTTTTGAGGCGAAATGTCGTCTTTACCCCCCTGGTTTTAAGCTAGCAGGCTACCAGTTTCGAAAAAGCCCATTTGCCTGCTGCCGCGCGTCTCGTCGCGTACACACAGACCGCTTTTACCATCTTACCCCTCAAGATCCTCTTCTTTCTTTTCTCTTGTCGAAATAACCCTCAAGATCATCATCGATGGACTTCTTTCACTAAGTGTGCTTGCCATCGTTGAATAATTGTCACTGTTTCATGTTATTATGTCATTACTGTATATGTATCTGTTGATCGACATTTATAGTTTTATTGTTTCTTTCTGGAGTTGGGTTTGGATCTTACCAAAGTAAAATACATAGTAGGTCATTCAGCTTGCGTCAAAGGTCATATGGTCCTATGATGTTTGGTCCACAGAATACCTTGGTTTCTTGGTAACGCATAAGAGAATCGTGCCTTGCTTCATTAAGAAAAAGGGTCGCGCTAACTGCCACACGTGTGGCACGAAGGGAAACGCACCACACGTCTCTAATGTAAACAGATTGCCACGTCATCGCATGCATGCATGCAGGAATCTTTTTGGATTTTCAGTTTTTAAAATGTTTTATCTCTTAAATGAAAAATCCGATTGAAAATCCGTTTTCACCATTAAATCCCTCGCGATGAGATCTTCGAAACTAGATCCCATGTTGATATGTTTTGATGAAATTTTTTTTGGATTAAAAGTTGCCATGTCTATTACATATGAATTGCCATGAAGTTTACACTGAAGTTGCCATGATATGTTTCAGCTATTTTCTTCTACATTTAAAAGTAAATTTTGACATTTATAAAACGGGGAATTAAGAAACTAGACTTGCCATGAACCATAAACTAAAATTGCCATGATACATGCACGTAAAATTGCCATGGTTCATACAAAAATTAATTTTCATGATCAAAGTGCTGGAATTGCCATCATCAAAATACTAAAATTGCCATGATCTACAAACTAAAATTGCCACATGGCAACTTTAGTTTAAGCCCTATGGCAACTGCAGTGTAAACATCGTGGCAACTTCTGGCAAAAAAAAAATCCGTCGAAACATATCAACATGGGGTCTAGTTTTGAAGATCTCGTCGAGACGGATTTAATGATGAAAACGGATTTTTAGTTTGCTTTTTTATTTAGGAGGTACAACATTTTTAAGCCAAAAATCAAAAAAAATCTGCTGATGTCATCTATTCATACGTGGCAAAATGAGTGGTGATGGAGACGTGTGGACGATGTGCAAACGCCCACACATGTGGGCGTTAACATTTTCGAAGAAAAAAAGAACAAGTACATCAAGTTACATAACAGAACAAAAAAGACGGGTGGATTACTCGTGAACATCCACACATATACACTCACATTGTTTAAGACACCATGCTTCCTTTTTTTTTTGCAGGAGAATAATAGGTATTACTCAAACCAGGCCATCTCGGTCTCGGTTACAAGGTTCTAACAAGAAATTTAGACCTGAGCCTAACCATACTGTAGTTCTGGGCTCACTCCTACCATACGATGACATTGCATCACTAGCACAATTATGAGTAAGTTTGGTGTGAGTAATACAGATTACACGATCTATTCGCAGTCAATGTTTGTCGTAATCGCCCTTGCCGGCACTAAGATGATGTCGAAGACTCGCCAATTTATATCCTTCCAGGGAGAGTGCATGGTCAAAAAGAGGAGGGAGTTTAGTTGGAGAGGTAACACGGCTAGCCTCTGTCCACCATTCCGCTAAATCGTCATGAGGAGAAGGTGTGGGTTTTCTCATCCCCTAACTTGCATCACATTGAACCAAACAGGTCGGGCATAGGAGCACTAGATAAGGAGGTGGGAGATGGTCTCTAGCTCCTGAAGGCAAAGTGGACAACATGGCACGTGAGCCAGGCTCCTCTCGAGCAGTCGCTCAGAGGTCCAGCAGTGAATCTTGAGCACAACCAAGCAAAGAATTTTAGTTGCAACAGGGCACAAGAACCCCACACCTTCTCCGCGCCAGGTATGCTAGTCAAGCTAAACAAGAACACACGATAGGCAATTTTCCCTGAGTAGATACCCAAATCTTTCCACATACACCAAAAAGAGTCAGCCCGACAAACATCAAGTTAGCTTGCCACTGGATCCAAGACCACAATCGCATATCTGCATAGTCATGGCGAGAGAGAAGGGACCTTTGAAACGCCTAATCCACTTGCCGAGGGGGATCCTTTCATGCATGGAGCACATAGAGCAAACAACCAAAGACACCGCATGCACAATATCTGAAGCATTCACAACGGCCACTGTATCCTTAATCCATCAGTCAATCAAGAAAATCAAGACACGCCCATTGCAGAGCATGCAGATATTCGACACATAGAACAAGGCAGTCGAGTCAGACGGAACATGAACCAGCTGGCCTGCCAAAGATGCTCTGATCAGTCCTCGAAAGCTAAGAGTAGTGCACCCCTACCGCTTCATTGAGCAAGCCAAGATTATGGATGCCTAGCTGACTCGGCTTCGTCGGCTGATAGACGATGTCCCAAGCAACTTTGCAATTCATCGGTGTAGCGATGTTCTCCTCGCTGTGGATGACTCTTGTCAACGACAACTCATTGATGTTTGAGATTGCTATTTCTTTCTCTGAATATGCACGAGTGTGCATATCATCTGAGATTGTTATTTATTACTACTTGCAAAGTTTATTGTGTAAAACTAAAGTTGTGACACTTGTGGTAAGCAATCTAAACAATTCAAAAAAATATAGAACTCGGCCCATGTGAAAGTTTAGCACCATAAAAATGTGAAAGAAAATGTCAGTATTCGACTTGAAAGTCAAGGGTTTTCTGTTGACGAAAAGGCAGGGCCCGGCGTATACATATACTCCTCCCACGTCTCCCGGTTTTCTGCTCCCTCCCTCCCTCCCTCCCTGGCTCCCTCCTGTCCTCCCACAGCCATGACACCTCAAAGGCAAAGTCGCGGCACGGGGAAGCCGGCCGGTGGGTTCGGGTTCTCCATCGCCGGCGACAGGCGCAAGCGTTTGGCGGAGTACCCCTGCGTGTCGCGCCTCCGGCAGCGGCTACTCCTCGTGTTCCTCTGGAGCCACAAATTCCGCCAAACCCTTCGAGCGTGCGTACCCCCTGAAAGTGAAAATCCCCACTTAATTGTTCTATTGATTTGATTTCTAACGCCTGGAAGCAGTGGATTTGTCTACGACTTGCCTGATACGAGTACAACTAATTCGTACGTGCTGCATCTGCACAAGCTGGCGCTCCACGGCCAGTGGAGCGAGGCCATCAAATACCTCTCCCGCTTCCTGCCGTCCGACCGTCCGCTGGGCGTCCACGGCCGCGCCCTCCACCACTTCCTTCGCCTGCACAAGGCCATCGATGAAATCGTCGCCGGCGAAAAGGAGGCCCTCTCCGTGACCGCGGCCGTCAGTCTGTGCTCGGCCCGCTTCCCTACCCGCAGCCCTGCCCTCACCAAGCTCCGCACCATCTTCTCGTCCCTCATCGAGTCCAAGACACTAAGGTATCATTCATCCCAGTGACCCAGTCAGTTCATTGAGCCTCAAATATATGTCTGCCTATATGAATTGCTTCTGTCCTTGAGTCTCAGATATGAATATAGATGTATCGTCTTTGGAAATTCAGGGATTCCGTGGACTTGATGCGGCTGAGGTGCGAGGCCTCATCGATCATGCATGGCTTGGTTACTCAGACTTCAGAGCTGAAAGACCACATGCGCCCGTGCGGCGGACCGATGGATCCCCACAACGTACTTCCCCTCGGATTCGGCCACGCTAGGCATGCCGCTGATCCCTCCCAACTTCTTCTTGGCTAAATTCTTTCAGTAGCCAGTGACCATCAGTTTGATTGCCGAATCTGCTGTAATTTTGCTAGCACTAGTTTACGTCGGAGGCGCCACCTGAAGAAACAGGGCGGCCACGTCCCGGCGTCTGTGGTTGCCGGGCTTTATCTTCAGAAGAAGAAGATGTATCTGCATCATAGAGCTTCTTTGCACAAACTGAAATGCTCTTTAGTTCTGTTTTTTCCCCCAACTCTTGGTGGTACTCTGACTAATTATAGCTGTGTTCCGTGCTTTGTGCAGGCTGCCCTCTTCGACTTCAAGTGATCGCTCTCAGGGGTTAACCAGGGGTATTCTGCCTCCTACCTATTGTGTGTGTGCTCTGCTTATTAATAACTAACATGTTTTTTTTCTCCTCTGTCTCTCAATGCCAGAAGCCTCAGTTAAGGCTAAGGAATGGTTGGTGGAACTTGTTGGTAAAGAACTGCTCTCTGCTCTAGCTCTATTTTCTGTTTTTACTTTATAACATAATGTCAGCAATAGCAACTGGTAAACTTATCTCATCTTCAGGTAGAAGTGTGGAAGCTGGTAAGCCGCGTCAAGGGGATTCAGTTCAATCGACATGTAGCAGAGGTAACTTCCACTCTCTTCTCATCCACTAAAACTTTAGCTCGACCCCATTTCAAAAAAGCATTTAGTTTAGCTCTGTTGATAAGAAAAGGATTGACTACAGCTTGGTTTAGAAATTGTTATACTTGCACGGCCTTAACGTTTAGATCAAATGTTTTTTAGCGATGACTTAGAAATAGTTACAGTTTTGCTATTTCGCAAGCTGTTTCTAAGTCGATGGTAACCATATTGACAACATTTGTTGAATCGTTCTGGGCTATACAGTGTTTAAAATTTTGACAATATTTCAGTAATTATGGTTGGTACAAAAATAGTTTTATCTCAAAGGCTTGAACTAGACTCAAACAAAATCCAGGATCAACATTTGATGAAAATTGTTTGAAGAAATCTGAAATAATTTCCTGAACT